ATGTAATTTTCAGATTTTCTTTTGGGTTTGTCAGCTGAACCTCTGAAAGAAAGAGACCCTGGTCTTTGAGACTTGCATTTTCATGTGATGGGACTTCAAGCAGGTGGGAATGGTATCAGGCCATGGAAAATTACAGTTAGCTGAAATCAAGATCACATGTAATTTTCTCCAAAGCTTCACAAGCCAGCATTGATCATGACGATTCTTCTCCCAGGCAACCACTGACAGAACGAGAGGACACAGTCTTAAGCTGCACCAGGAGAAGTTTAGGTTAGACATCAGGAGAAATTCTTCACAGAAAGAGTGATTGGGCACTGGAATCATCTGCCCAGGGAGGTGGTGGAGTCACCAAACCTGGACATGTTTAAAGAAAGACTGAATGTGGCACTCAGGGCCATGGTTTAGTTGATGAGGAGGTGTTAGGTCATACCTTGGACTTGATGATCTCATAAGGTCTTTTCCAACCTAGTTCATTCTGTGATCATCCCTGCCCCTGGACTGTGTCCTGCCGGACATGTTCCTGCTCCCTAAATGTCTCTGACAGCCTCGATCAGGGCTTTGGCAAAGCTGAGCCAGATCAGCTTTTCTCCACTATGCTGGAAAATAATCTCAAGAGCACTACAACACCAAATTTGAAAACTATAGGTATTTCTTTACTGAGAAATTTTGCTCACGTTGTCCCAGGTCTGTTCACCCACAAACTAAATTATTTTAGCTGTAAAGTAGACTTTAAAGCCAATTGTACAATGAAGAGAGATCAGGGAAGAAGTACAAGAAGTTCAGGTTTGTTCTGAGCTGTTCTGAACACAGGAACAGGGAAGGAATTAATGGAGAAAAAGCACCAGTGATCACATCTCCACTATTTCCCAATCCACATTCAGGAACGTTTATGCTTCTGTTTATTTTATTTCATTATAGTGAACGGAATGATTGCATGAACAACTTTAATAAGGTGTTGTGAAAAGATCAGCTGTTTCCTCAAGCTCCACTGTGCAACTCTAGCATGGGAGAAACCCCTGCTAAATGTGTGAACCAGAGATATCCCAGCCTAGCCGAAGAGACTTTAAACTAGGAGAGGTACAAGCAGATAAGGACTGCTTCCCTCATCAGGTTATTTAACTTGAACCATGTTCTCCAGGGTTACTGCAAGGGGGTTGTGCTTACCTGGCAGGAATTGCACAAGAGCTGGCATTCTCTTATTGCCAAAAGCAGGGTGATACTCCCTTTCCCAGCTCAGGATGCCAGGAGCAGACGACTTGTGGCTGATTTATCCTTGTGCTTGGCAAGAGGCACCAGCCAGCACCTTAGGCATACAGTCTGTGAAACACAGCAGGAGCAACAGCAGGGCAGGAGCTGGAGGAAAGGTGTTCATGGATAGCCAGGACAGGATTAACCCCAATCCCAGGGCTGAGGAACATGCTGCTTGCGCCACGGTGTGCCTCAGAGGAGGTGACTCAGCAGCAGCAGACCTGCACCTGTGGGACAGCAGTGGGGACACAGCTGACTCCAGGAGCTGTTTCTCATCCTGTTGTGCCAGCAGCAGGTGGGGTTGCAGCCCTGTGATGTCTCAAACGAGAACATGAGAGGCATCCAGCACCAATGCTGCCTAGTATCTATGAAGGGTGATGCTAACAAGAGACAGAAGTAACACACAAGAGAAGATGTAACTTTTGATGCTTAAAGGGCCTCAGAGACCAAGAAAAGTACAGGGTTTGGGCCTCAGGCAGAGCCCAGGAAGAACATGGATGACTCTTTGAGTGGAGACCTTTGCCTTCCATGTCACACCTTGGCCAGCCCACCTGGACACACAGCCCTCTGAAAATCATGGAATCCTAGAGTGGTTTGGGTTGGAAAGGACCTTAGAGATCACCTCAGTCCACCCCCTGCCATAACAGGGACACCTTCCACTATCCCAAGCTACTCCAAGCCTCGTCCAACTTGGTCTTGGACACTTCCAGGGATCCAGGGGCAGCCACAGCTTCTCTGGGCACCCTGTGCCAGGGCCTGTCCACTCTCCCAGGGAACAATTCCTTCCCAATACCCCATCTAACTCAACCTCCTTCAAGGTCTTCATTCCTCCCTTTGACTAAGCTACACAAGAATTCCTCAGTAAAAATCCAACCGCTTTTTTTTTGGCACCTTCTCTCCTTCCACTCCAGGTAGAATAACTCCAGGTGCTGAATCACACACTCACCTCAGCAGTGACACACTGCTCCAATGGCCTCATTCCACAACCTGAGGATGTCAGAGAAGTCCCTGCTGCTTTTCCAACCTCTACTACCATTATTTTATTACTACTGTTACTACTACTTAGTACCTCCACTAGAGAAGTAGTAGTGGTTAGAAGGCAGCAGCGTGGGCAGCAGGGGAGGGGGGATGCTGCCCCTCTGCCCTGCTCTCATGAGAGCCCTCCCAGAATTCCATGCACAGTTCTGGTTCCCCCAGCACAAGGAGGGCATGGAACTGTTGGAGCAGATCCAGAGGAGGCCATGGAGTTGCTGAGGGGACTGGAGCACCTTCCCTCTGGAGCCAGGCTGGGAGAGCTGGGGCTGCTCAGCCTGGAGAAGGGAAAGTTGTGTGGAGAGCTCACAGCTCCTTCCAGGGTCTGAAGGGATACAGGGGAAACTGGAGAGGGACCCTACATCAGGAACTGGAGTGCCAGGACACAGAGAATGGGTTCAAACTGCCAAAGGACAGGGTTAGATGGGATACTGGGAAGGAATTGTTCCCTGTGAGAGTGGGCAGGCCCTGGCACAGGGTGCCCAGAGAAGCTGTGGCTGCCCCTGGACCCCTGGAAGTGTCCAAGGCCAGGTTGGATGGGGCTTGGAGCAGCCTGGGATAGTGGAAGGTGTCTCTGCCCATGGCAGAGGGTGGCACTGGCTTTGAGGTCCTTCCAGCCTAGATGGGTTCCATTCTGACTCTTTGTAGTGGGATTTTTGTGCTCACAGGTGAGGGAAGGCACTTCCCAAAGCCCAGAGCAGGCACAGATGCAGAAGGCAATGAAGGAGGCCATGAGGAGTAAAGCACCCACACAGCCCCAGTGTGTCAGTGGCTGAGGCACGGACAGAAAATTACAGCGTGGTGATGGAGCAACGCGCGCCTGCTCGGGCTGCGTTTCACAACTCACATTCCCCACAGCACCACAGCTGGCAGCAGCCTCGGGAGGCAGCCTAATCCACAGCCAGGGAAGGCACCCACAGAGCCAACCACAGCTTTGGGCTTCTAGGTGGCTACCAAGGTAGGGAACGGCGTGGGCTGGGTGGTCACGGGCTGCAGGTGAGGAACAAACCCCTTTGCTCTGTGCAATACCAGCGGCTTTGGCCAAGCAGAGGTGTTGCACCAGCTCTCCCCTGCACCTCTGGCTGCTGCTGAGACCTTCAGCTTGGTGCTTTTCCAGAAGGAATGTTCAGCCTGGTGCTTTTTCAGAGAGCCCTGCAGAGCTTTTTGTGAATTCCCCCTTGCTAACACAACACTTTTGGACCTTACTGTCACTTTTCACAAGGGGTGGAATGACCAAGTGTCTCCCACCCAGGCAGGCAGTGAGGCATGACCTGTCCTCGGGATGTCCTTGGGGTGCTCCTGGGAAGCTCAGCATGCTGCTGAGGCTTTGTAAAGATGGTAGAGCCCAAGCTTTTTTGTTGCACCAGGAACTCTTCTAAATGACCCTGGGAGATAGGAAATTACCCTGGGAGTTAGGAAATTATCCCTCATAAAGAAAAGCTCTTGGTTTGTTGTTTGTTTTTTTTGGTTTTTGTTTGTTTTTTTTTTAATGTAGCTATCATGAGCTTAAGGTGCAACTCCATAGCTGGAATTCCCCAGCACACCAATCTGGAAACGCAATCCTTTGCAAGCATGAAAGTCACAGCCACATGGAGGGAGGTGCCACAGGAGTGATCAGCACACATCTGTTAATTGGAGGGCACACGTGACGAGGGACAGCAGGGTGCCAGCGTGGCTGGGCTCTGACACAGCGTGGTCCTTTTAACTCTGGTGGTGACAGAGCCACCCGCACTGCCACCACCAGCCTGCTCAGACACAGCGGTGGGCTCTGCCTGGGAACGTGTTTTCCTCCGTGTCATTCAGATCTGTGTCCTTTTGGAGCTGCCCTGAGGTGGGAAAAAGAATCATTCGCTCTTTTTAATTTTTGGTATTAACTCGCATCTTGGTGATACCACAGGTAGGTTGGCTGGGAATATCTCAGAGGGTAGCAAAGTCTCGTGGTGTGGGAGATCCACTGGGAGTAAAGGAGGGAGGCAGAGAGTAATTCACAATTCGTGCTGCTGGGCTGGAGTTAAGCTCTAACTTTTGAGAGCCTGGCAAAATATTAGAACTGTGTGCATGAAAAATAGGCCTCAGCTCAGGAGCATCTAAGAAAAGATTTCTGTTTTGTTCAGGCTACACTTATTTAACCAATAGCTTTTCTATGAGGCTCTACCAGTTCCAGTTCGTAGGATCCTTCTGTTTACAGTGGGTTTTGGGTACAAAAGCTAAGCAATAGAGAAACACAAAAAGTATAGACATAGTCATAGCCCAGCCACACTAAACATGTTCCTTCCATAGCATAAACACCCCCTTTAGATTAGTTTCCTCTGTGGGACAACTGGCCCAATGGTATTGGTTTAGTTCTTGTTTGCACAGATGGTTCTCTTCTTCTTGCCATTAAAAATACAGAAAAGGCTCCTGCCTAGTACCAGATCCTCTCTGTAGAGAGGAGTATAAAAAATTCTCATGTGGACAGCAAAGAAAACTGAAATTGGGAATTCCTTCCACTTTCCCAGCCCAGAAAATTATATGAGATCTTCAGATATGTGAGGAACTTAACCCATCATAACCAAGTAGAAACAAACATTCATATCAATTCTAGTAACAATAATAATCAACAATAGTAACAACAGCATCAATGCTACTGTTGTTATTGTCGTTGTTGTTCTTATTCCTATTATTACCATCAGTATCATTATTTTTGTTGTTGTTACTGTTATTATTTCCACAGGCACAAGATGTGGCTGTTTATTGCAATCCTGTTTTTCGTACAAGCCCCCACGAACTCCGAAGATGCCACCAAGCAGAAAATGGCTCTAAATCCTGAGAGTCTCATGAACGTTGTAAGCCAGGAGAACTTTGAATTTCCCCTCTGAAAGCTTGGGCACGTTCAGCTGGAGGAGAGAGAGTTGGAGGGCACATGGAGAGAAAGGGCTGGTGTTGTTGATGTGATGCTGCCTCCACACTATCATTAACGAACTCCTCCTCCCAGCTGAATTAAGTGCAATTATCAGCAGGGCAGTTTGAGATGGGGATAACCCCAGACTGGATTTGGTCAGATATCTCCCCAGAGGGTAGAAATTTGTGCGTGGCTCCTGTCTTCAGCTGCAGCAAATGGCTCAGGGCCATGTCCAGGTAGCCCTGCCAGGCTCTGAAGCTGGGTTTAGTGGGACCCAGGGTGGTAAATTTGCTGCATTTAATCTTTCTGCCAACCTCATGACAAAGGGAGCTACATCAACGTGTGGGCAGGACCACAGCTGGATTTTATCAGGCAGAAACTTCCCAATCTGTGGAGTTTTCAGCATCAGTAAAGCTCAGGCAGGGCCTTGGGAGCCCTGTAATGATTCCTATGGGGTTTATTGCTCTGCCCTTCCAGTCAGCCCAGCTCAGCAGGTTCCATCTGCCACACCACCTTATCTGCCCAGCACATCAGCTGGGAGCCCGATGTGACACGTGCTGCTGTCAGTGTCAGGCATCAGGAAATCAGTGCCAGCCATCAGGAAATCGGTGCCAGCCATCAGGAAAGTGGGGTCAGCCATCAGTAAATCCTTTCGGTTTCTTGGAACTGTTTCAAGCCCTGCAGCCACCAGCTCCCCTCCCTCCCACAGCTGAGCATCTCCCCTTCCCTTGGGGTGGGGTTCAGACAGAACATCCTCTGTCACAAAAAATCCTCAGTTCATCCAGAGGCAGCCTGGGCAAAGCCATGTCCCAGAACTTTGGTTTTACCAAGGGATCTGCTCTTCAAGTCAGATGAGCACCTTCACTATGGAAAGTTTCCCACCTGGGTTTTTTCTTCCCCCAGAGCCAAATCATCTGCCACAGAGGGTACCCCAGTGAGGAGTATGATGTCCTGACTCGTGATGGCTACTACATCCACCTGAACAGAATTCCTCATGGAAGAGAAAAGCCTAAGAACAGAGGTACAGCTCTATTTCACTCAGAGTCACCAAAAAAAACAGCCCTGAATGTAAGCAGGGGAATGGATGAACCTGGACAGGCCAGGGGAATAGCCACTGTTAAAGCAAAAATACTGAATCCATGGGATTTCTCCAATTTGCACTCAAAGCTGTACCACCAGAACACATCATCAAAATGCACTTTTTGCCTTTTGCACTTCCTCTGGCAATGCAAAGAAGAGGTTTTACTGGCCTTAATTAGGGGTGAGTGAATAGAGAGAATGTGGTTCAATGAAATGTGCTGCTTCTTTTGCACCCAGGGCCCAGGCCAGTCGTGTTTCTCCAGCACGGGATACTTGGAGAAGGCAGTCACTGGGTGGAAAATCTGGCTAACAACAGCCTTGGCTTCATACTAGCAGACTCTGGCTATGACGTGTGGCTGGGAAACAGCCGGGGGACGAGCTGGTCCCGGAGACACCAGCACCTTTCAGCTGACCAGGTGGAATTCTGGGATTTCAGGTGGGCTGGAGCGCGTTACAAAAGCCTGGCGATGTTCTCTGCCTCCCACCAAGCCCTAGGCAGAGGTGGGTGCCTCCCAGCAGGCAAGTCAGAGCACCTATTCCCTGGCACAGCCTCCCCCGGGGAGGATGGAGGGACCTGAGCAGACCTGCCTGCTGACACGGCGCCAGCACCTCCCTGCAGCTGCTGAGAGCACAGGGCACAGAGACATCAGCCCTGCCTTCGGGGTGTCCACTGAGATGCCCACAAGTGGCATTGCCACCTCCCCTGCTCCTAGACCTTGTTGCCCCTTTTTAAGCTGCTACTGCCTCTCCAGAGCGAATCTTCAGAGCAGAATTCCCAAGCTCATAAACAGGCTTTCAGAAAATCCTCACACCACAGGTCTGCCTTTCACCACGTCCCACCAACAGGCACACGGGCAGGAACTGGTGCTCCATTCCCCTCTGGGAAAGAGCATCCCAAGGAGGAGAGCAGGTGCTGTAATCCTGGTGGGAGCCAGCTCTGGGTCTGCAGAGAGGCTGGGTATGGCACTAGGATGCTGGCCAGGCTCTGCACAGTCTATTTATTGCTCACAACGGCCGTGGGAGGACTAAGCCCTTTCAGGGGAGGATGATGCCATGGCAGGAGGGATCCATGCCAGGAATCTTCTCCTGGAAAGAGAAAAGTAGAGCTGGGCAATGCAAGGCAGCTTAAGGTAAGTTTGCCCTCCTGTTGCTGCCTCATAACCAACATCCCCCTCCTGTGTTGCAGCTTCCATGAGATGGCAATGTACGACCTCCCAGCCACCATCGACTTTGTGCTGCAGAAAACAGGGCAGAAGCAGCTCCACTACGTTGGCTACTCCCAGGGCTGCTCAACTGGTGCGTTCCACCCACCACCTCGGCTGGAAAAATTTCAATTTGGTGTTTGCCAGCAGAAAGCAGAGGGGTCCCCTCTGTGTGGGCTTAACAACCACTGAAGTGCCCAATCAGCCAAGGGAATAAAGGTGTTGCCTCCCCTTGGGCAGCTCTTGCACCAACATTTAGCAGGAAGGTGGCAAGAGATCTCAGATTTCCAAGTGGAGATAATCAATTAAACAGACCTGGGTCCAAGTGAACCCTCGGATTAAGCACTTGAGGAAAGATGGAACAAGTCTGTTTTGTCTTTCTGTCTTGTTTTTCTGTTTTCTCAGCGTTTATTGCATTTTCATCCATGCCCGAACTGGCTCAGAAAGTCAAAATGTTTTTTGCCCTGGCTCCGGTAGTGGCACCCAAGCACTCCAGAAGTCCATTCATAAAGATGCATCTCCTCCTGGACAACAAGCTCAAGATGATTCCGGTAAGGGATTACTCCATGCCCTTCTGCCCCAAAACTGACTGGTTCTAGAGGAGGGATCATGCCCAGACACAGTCCCTGGGGCTCTCTGATGCAGCAGAAAACAGTTAATTCCTGCTGATTTATTAGCACAGACACAATTCAGGTGCACATACAGTCCTGGATGGTCTTGTTGAGCACGTCTTCTTTCCATCTGTAGGATAAGCGTGGTCTTTATATGGAGGGCACTTGTAGGGGCCCTAGGTTAAACACCTGGAAAAGAGCAGCTTTACCGTGTCAATGCCATGAGAAACAGATCCAGTGCTTGGGGACGGTGGGGGAAGAGAGGAGAGTTGTGAATACTGATTTTCCTGGCGTGTGTTCAGTCAGCAATGAGCTGTACACATCTCTGTGGGGCAGGAGGGCAGTAGGCTTGACTCCTGCATATTCCCTTTACTGCCTGGCTGTGGGGCTGGGCTGCAGGGAGGGAAAAGCAGGAAATGCACGCTGCCCTTTGCTCCCTTCGCAGATGCTGCTCGGCAGAACGGACGCGTCCCTGCGGGTGAGGAAGCTGTGGCGGTTCCTCCCAGAGCTGTGCAGGCACATGCTGCTGCACAAGTCCTGTGCCAACCTCCTCTTCCTGCTGAGTGGCTACAACGAGAAGAATCTCAACATGGTGGGTGTGCCATTCCAGGGGGGACGAGGGTCCCAGGGCCACTGTTCTGCCACCCACCCCCAGTGCTCGCAGCAAGCAGACCCTGCATGGGCCACATGTGTCCCTCTGCCAGATCTTTTCCTCCTGGGACAGGAAAAGCCCCCAGGCTCTGCTGGGTAAATGTCAGTGGCCAGGTGGCCCTTGACAACACCCCTGAATTAGGGCTGCCTGTCACTGTGACCACTCTGGGGTGCAGCCCCTGCTCTGACCCACCTGCTGAGCAGCCTCTGGGTAACCTCAGGCAGTCACTGAGGCCTTGAGCACAGCCCCTGAGCCCAGGTAAGGTACCTCACAGACCTCATCCTTCAACCCCATCACTCTCCTCCCAAAGCTGCCTCACAGCAATTGGTTTTTAATGAAAATTATATTCCTGAACCTGGTCCAGCTCTTCAGGCAGCGTGACTCAGCAGTGGCTGCTCTGGGAAACACCTGGCAGCTGCCACTCCACTCCCATCCGCTGGAACGCAACAATAGCTGGGATCTGTTTCCTTGCAGACACGGCTGGATGTGTACACATCCCACTACCCAGATGGCACCTCTGTCAAAAATATCATCCACTGGGCCCAGGTAGGATCCCTGACACACGGAGGCTTCACCCCTGGGATGGTCCCTTCACTGAGAGTCTGCTGTGCCCAGGGCAGACATGAAAGTTCAGGGATCTTGGACATTTCTCCCAGCTCCTGAGAAAGTAAAGGCAAGAAATTAGAAGAGGATGCAAGATGAGCTGCTTTTGTGCCTCTGGAGACCAGGGAACACTGCAGTGTGTGTCCTGTGCTGTGCACATCCACAGATGGATGCTGTGATCCCCCAGAAGTTGCCAAAGCAGAACGTGGGGACACCGCAGTGCTGGTGGGTGTAAGCCCAAGGAGAGGCTGGGGGAACTGGAAGAGGAGGAAAAGGGGAACCCAACAACATCTCCCCCTGTCTAAAGGGGTCCTGGACACCCTGGAGATGCAGCTTCAGCACTGGCCCTGCTGGAAACACGGTCAGGCTGGAGAACTCTCCTTACAGAGCCAAATTATAGGTAAAGGAAGCTGAAAAGCAGCATCCTGCACACACAAGCTGGTGGTGAGCAAGATTTCAGAGGGAAGAGTGTGGCACCGGGGCAGCCAAGGAGTCAACCCATGGCTAGGGACAGGCCATGAGGTCAAAAAGCCACTCTGTTAAAAAAGGTGGAAAGCCTGGCTTTGCAGGGATGCCATCTCCTGCAATGTCACATGGGCGAGGACACCAACACCTTTCCTTGTCCTGCCTGTCCCCAGCCAGCTGGCATGGTTGGAGACAGGCAGATGGAGGGCAGGGATTTACACGAACCTCTTCTGAGCACCCTCTCATGACAGGTGCTTCGAGGCCAGGAGATGCGAGACCCACGCAACAGCACTGGCTGACTCACTGGCCTCCCACAGCTGATCCATCCTCTCTTCCCAGGTGATAAAATCTGGAGAATTCAAAGCCTTTGACTATGGCAGTGAGAACCAAGCCAGGTACCATCAGGTAGGAGCTGCAGTGGCAGTGCTGCCAGCTAGAGATGCTGGGGGTCTATCCGGGGTGCAGGGACAGAATGGCTGGCAGGGATTGACCAACCGAGACCCCTCTGTGTCCCTCCAGGACACACCGCCCTTGTACCACGTGGAGGAGATGCCGGTGCCCACCGCGGTGTGGTCGGGAGGGCAGGACTGGGCAGCTGACTGGAGGGACATCCTCCTGCTGCTGCCTCGCATCACCCACCTCGTCTCCTACACCCACATCCCCGACTGGAACCACTGGGACTTTGTCTGGGGCCTGGACGCCCCTGGGCGCCTCTACAGCAGCATCCTGAGGCTGATGGAGGGGTCCCGGTAGAGCGGCGGCTCCCGGGGGAAGTGCCGGTGGCCTGGCCCCTGTCCCTCGGCTGAGATAGCCCGAGGAGAGGGGTGGGACACTCCTTGCTGTCCCTTTCTTCCTGCTGGCCTGACGCGCTCGTGGTGGTGGTGCTTTCCACGCATACCTTGGTTGTTGGGGTCTCTCCTCCTTGCTTGGGAGCTCCTCAAGCACCGGCGGCACGGTGCTGGGAGGGCAGCACCGGGGTCAGCCGAGGCACCGGAGCAAGCAGGAGCCACCAGCCCTGCTGGAAGGATCCCAATATGATGGTGCTGAGCCAGGGGGGACATGGGGACCCTGCCATGACCCCACAGTCGCTGCCCAGTGAGTTGTGGATTAGAGGAGGTGGGAGAGAGCTGCGCCTGTTGAGTCTGGCTGTGGGGGGACAGGCTGAGAGCAGCCCCCCAGCCGTGGCACACAACAGAATGGAGGGGATGGATGAGGCCAAACCCTTCTTGGCAGCAGCAACAGGTGATGCAACGAAGGGTTCAGGTTGCAGCCCCGGGGGGTTCAGGTTGGATTCAGATAATCCTTTTTCCCCAAGACAAGTCTCCAGATTGAAGGTCTCCATCTGGGCCAAGTCAGGCACCTGCCTGCATTGTTTGGGCTGAGACTCAGGGGCCAGAGATCCTCAGGAATGACTGCTTGGCTCAGCACCAGGACACTGGGAATGATCATCCCTCATCCCTGGGCTGGGTTGCAGGGCCACCGTCTCCCCAAGAAGATGCTGCCAGGCTGATGTCCCCAGCCCATCCCACCGTGCTGCTTGCTGCAAACCTGGAGGTGGGGAAAATCTCTCCAAAATAAATACTCAAAGGGGATGCTTTGACACCCCCAGCTCTTCCTTGCACGTGAATGTTTTCTGGGGAGCTGCCAGGGCCAGCAGGGACACAGTAACCCCCAAACAGCTGGTAGAACTGGGTGGTACAGAGGGTCCCAGCTGGGAGTATCTTAGTACATCCCAGCACCCTATCTCATCCCATGGTAGCCAGCAGGAACACTTGCTAGCAAAAAACCCCCCGCCAGACAGCCTTGCGAGTGGAGAGCCTTACTGTATCCACGAAGGTTTGGGAATCACGGGTGGGCGGGAGCGCTGGGACTGGCCCTTGGGGCAGCTCCGCTGGGATGTGTGAGGCGGGACCGCGGGACGATGGGCATCCGCTGCTGCTCCACCTTGCCAGGCTGGCCGGCCACGGTATGAGGTGGACGAGCGGGAGCAGAATGGGGAGAGGTGGAGGGAGGGGAGGTGGTCCCAGGGCTGCTCCCTCTCCTACCCCGGCCTTCTCCTGCCCTCCATGGGTGCAGGCAGCTGGTTCATCATTGCACCGGGACCCACGGGCACCCCTCCATGCCTCCCTCCATGCATCTCCCCGCTCTTCCCTCCATCCCCTCCTTCCTCCTTCCCTCCTGCCGCGGCCCGGGCCGCTCCAGGGGCGGTGCCGTTGGCGGCGGGCGGTGCCGGCGGCGGCGGAGGCGGTACCGGCCGGCGCGGGCAGCCATGGAGGGCGGCGGGCGGCGGGTGGTGGCGGTGGGCGCGGGGCTGGCGGGGCTGGGGGCGGCCCAGCGGCTCCGCGGACATGGCTCCCTCCGCCTGCTGGAGGCGGCGGCCCGCGCCGGCGGCCGCGTCTGCACCCGCCCCTTCGGTACGGGCGGGGAGGCCGGGGGAGGCTCCGGGAAAGAGCTGGGGGTGGGCGGCACCGGGGGGCGGGCCGGGCTGGGGCAGGGGCACGGGGTGGCTGTACCGGGATGCGGGAGCTGCACCTGAGCCCCAGCCCGTGGGGCCGCTCCTGGGTGGGCCGGACACGTGGCGGGGGTGGCCGGTCCCGTGGGCACGCGGGGATGGAACGGAAGCCGGTCCCGGGTGGCACCGGGGCAGCGGGGCCCGCCGGCTTCGGCCCTTTCGGGGCCGCGGGAGTCCCGCTGCGCCCCGAGGGCTTCTGCACGGGCACGGCTCGGGGTGTGACCCGCCCTCCCTCCTTCCCTCCCTCCCGGCAGCGTCGGGGCTGGCGGAGATGGGCGCACACTGGATCCACGGCCCCTCGCCGGGCAATCCCGTGTTCTGCCTGGCCTCCCGCTACGGCCTGCTGGGCCCGGAGGCCGCCCGGGAGGAGAACCAGCAGGTGGAAGCGGGGGGCCACCCCCCGATGCCGTCCGTCACCTACGGCAGCTCGGGGAAGGTGCTGAATCCCAAGGCAGTGCGCGAAGCCCGCGACCTCTTCTACGCCCTCCTGGCCTCCACCCGCGCTTTCCAGGGGTCCAAGGAGCCACCGTGGCCCAGCGTGGGCCAGTACGTGCGGGCAGAGATCGCCCGGACGGTCCCCACGATGGCGGGGGGCCAGGAGGATGCCCGGCGGCTCCAGCTGGCCGTGCTCGCCGCCTGCCTCAAGCTGGAGTGCTGCATCAGCGGGACCCACAGCATGGACCTGGTGGCCCTGGAGCCCTTCGGGGAGTACGTGTCGCTGCCCGGCCTGGACTGCACTTTCCCAGGGTAAGCGCGGGGCTCCGGAGCGGGACACGGAGGAGCGTCCCAGGGGCGGCCCCGTCCCCAGCGGTGACTCCTCCCACAGTGGCTACAGCAGCTTGGCCGAGCGCCTGCTCTCGGATCTGCCCGAGGGCACCGTCCTGCTCAACAAGGCCGTGAGGACCATCCAGTGGAAAGGGTCCTTCCGTGAGGAAGGGGACGATGCCAGGGTTTTCCCTGTCCGGGTGGAGTGCGAGGATGGAGATGTCTTCCTTGCTGACCACGTCATTATCACTGTCCCACTGGGTGAGGACACAGATACCTTCCCTTGCCCTGTCCGTCCCCTCCGGCCTGCTGGCTCGGGTGGAGATAGGCAAGTGGAGGGATTGTCTAAACCGCTTCCCAGCCTCCCCTCTCCCACTGGGAAGAAGTTGGAAAGGGGTTTGGGGAGGTCGGAGCATCTCAGACTCCATTTAGGAGCCTAGCTGAGAGCTGCCCCAAACTTGTGGCTGCAGGTTTCCTCAAGGAGCACCACCAGAAATTCTTCCAGCCCCCCCTTCCCGAGCGGAAAGCACAGGCCATTCGCAACCTGGGATTTGGCACCAACAACAAGATCTTCCTGGAGTTCGAGGAGCCTTTCTGGGAGCCCGAGCAGCAGCTCCTGGAAGTCGTATGGGAGGACGAGTCGCCCCTGGAGGAGCCCAGCGCTGACCTGGAGGCTAGTTGGTTCAAGAAGCTCATCGGATTCGTGGTGCTCCAGCCGCCAGAGCAGTAGGTGGCTGGGGATTTTGGGCATTCTCTGGGCCGCTGGTGGGCACGGGGAGGGGCAGCAGCTTTCAGCTCCACACTCCCGCCCTAGGCACGGGCACGTCCTGTGCGGCTTCATCGCGGGGAAGGAGTCGGAGCACATGGAGACGCTGAACGACGCCGAGGTGCTCAGCGCCATGACCCGCGTCCTGCGCACCATGACAGGTGCCTGCCTCGCCCTGCCCGCCCGCCCACTGCCCCGAGGCATTTCCCGATCCTACCCCTAACCCCCATCCGCAGGGAATCCGAACCTGCCCGCGCCCAGGAGTGTGCTCCGGTCCCGCTGGCACAGCGCTCCCTATACCCTCGGCTCCTACAGCTACGTGGCCGTCGGCAGCTCGGGGGACGACATCGATGTGCTCGCACAGCCCCTGCCCGAGGACCCCCGGGACCCCCAGGTGAGGATTCAGCCCTAGGGGATGCAGCAGGGACAGACAGGCGGGGGTGGGGACAGGCCACTCCAGGAGCACAGGGAGATGGCACTGCTGACCCTTTGCGGGGGTCATCAATGCTGCTGAGCTCGACGGAGGTGGGGGCATTTCCATAAAAGTCGTGGACAGACGGCTCCTCCCAACCGCTTCCCAGCCTCCTCACGGCGCGGGCTGGGTGCCTAGGGAAGGAAAAGTCCGTACTTTTGCGTTTTTAATGCGGTCATGCCCCGCGGGGTGCCGGAGCGCGGGGGTGAGACTGTTCCAGCACAGCCCCGCGGCCTCTGTGCTCACCCCGCGCCTCTCCGCAGCCCCTGCAGCTCCTCTTCGCCGGCGAGGCCACGCACCGCACCTTCTACTCCACCACCCACGGGGCGCTGCTGTCGGGGTGGCGAGAGGCCGAGCGGCTCAACCAGCTCTTCCAGGCGCCCGTCCCCACGCCTCAGTCCTGAGGCAGCAAAATAAACCCCGGTGCTTTGCCCTTCAGTCTCCTTTATTGAGAAACCTCCGCGCCGGCAGCTTCTTCCTCTCTGTGGCGGGGTGGATGCGGCGGGGGGGACTGCATCGAGCGGGAGCTGCGGTGTTGATTTAATACCAGTTGGTGCTGGAGATGGTGTAGCGGGGGTCGTCCAGCGGGTCCTGCGTCGGGCCTGGCCGCGGGGGGGGCTCCGGGGCGGATGGGCGTGGAGGTTGAGGCTCAGAAACGGCGGCACGGGGCGTGCCGGGGCCGGCGGGGGGCACGGCGTGCCCCCCGCCGGCCCCGGCACGCCCCGTGCCGCCGGGAGGTGCGACCGAGCCCCCCGGTGGCACTGGCTCCGCCATTGCTGTTACTGAGGCGGCTTCCGGTCGCGCCGGAAGTGACGCACCGGCCGCGCCGGAGCCATGCGGGTGTGGGCAGCGCTGCGGGCTGCGGGGACGGTACCGGGAGGGTTCCGGGAACGCTTCGAGTTCGGCGGCCGTGATGTGGCTTCGTGGTTCCCGCGGCACATGGCGAAAGGTGAGGCGCGGCAGCGCGGCGGATCGAGTTCCACCCTACCTCGAGCGCCCGCTGCGCGCTCACCCCGCGATGTGCTGTGTGTGCTGCAGGCCTGCGGCAGATGCGACTGGCTCTGCGCCGCGCCGACTGCCTCGTGGAGGTGCACGACGCTCGAATATCCTCCACAGCTGCCGGAGAACCCTCTCCCTTGTCCCTCCAGACTACCCTTGCCCTTGTCCACCTCCTCTCCGCCCCCCTCCCGCTATGCGTTTCCAGTCACTGTCCTTAGCGCAGACACATTCCGCTGTCGGGCCGTAACCCCGCGCTCCTGGAGGCTCTGGGCATCCGCCCTCACGTCCTGGTGCTGAACAAGATGGATCTGGCTGATCCTCGCCGGCAGCCGGTGAGCGCCGGGGCAGGGCCGGGCGGAGGGCAGCCTTGGTGTCACAGGCAGGTGACAGCAGTGCCTCTTCCCGGCTCCTCCAGGCGGTCTTGGAGCAGCTGAAGCAGCAGGGATGCTCGCACGTAGTCTTCACTGACTGCCAGCGTGATGTCAATGTCAAGAAGGTAGTGGGGCAGCAGCCCAGCCCTGCTCCCTGGTGAGCTCCCAGCCCCATGGAGGGCCCTCGGTGCTCCAGCTGGCTGCTCCCTTTCCAGCTGCCCCAAGTCCTTTGCTCAGGCCCCGTTGCACACATCCTGCTGGCACAGAGTCACCAAACAAGTGGCTGCTGCCAGCCAGGGCACAGAGTGACAGCCCTGTTCCTCTGCAGGTTGTCCCCATGGTTGCCAGGCTGGTGGCCGACGGCCCACGCTACCACAGGGCCGAGGTGAGACATGCACAAGGGGTCACAAAATAGGTTGGAAGGGACCCACAAAAACCATCCAGTCCAGCTCCTGGCCCCACACAGACAGCCCAACAATCCCACCCTGTGCATCCCTGGCAGCGCTGTCCAAACCTTGGAGCTCTGGCAGCCTCGTGGCCGTGCCCATTCCCTGGGGAGCCTGGGCAGTGCCCAGCACCCTCTGAGGGAAGAACCTTGCCCTGATCTCCAGCTTGACCTTGTCCTGGCCAAGCTCCAGCCACTCCATGGGTCCTGTCCCTGGAACAGAGTGCAAAGGTTGGAGCTGCCTTGGGGAGGAGCTGCAGCCCCCGGGGAGATCTGACCTCGGTGTGCTGTGCTCCAGCTGAACAACCCAGGTGACCTCAGCCAGTCCACGTGTGGCCCTGCAGACCCTTCCCCATCCTTGTGTCCCTCCTTTGCACATTCTCTGACAGCTTTACATCTCTTTTTTATTGTGGTGCCCCAAAACTGCCCCCAGTGCATGAGGTGAGGCTGCCCCAGTGCACAGCAGAGAGAGGGTCGCCCCCCCTTTCCAGCCAAGGGACAAGGCTGCTCCCATATGTGCCAGAAGTGCTGGCAAACCCTGGGATATTTCCTGTGATAGCTGCCTGTTACTGCAGGAGTGGGTGGTTGGTAACCAGCTGCTCCTCACTCGTGTCTCTCTGGCTTCCAGAGCTCCGAGCACAACATCCTGGTGATTGGCGTGCCCAACGTGGGCAAGTCCTCGCTCATCAACTCCCTGCGAAGGCTGTACCTCAAGAAGGGTATTTCTGCACGGTGCCAGGGTTCGGGGAGGGGGTGGGCACAGTGTCACATGTATCTGTGACCATGTGTGTCCCCCCAGGCAAAGCCACTGCTGTGGGGGGCGAGCCAGGAATCACCAAGGCAGTGCTGTCCAGGATCCAGGTACTGTCCCTGTGTCCAGGAGACCTCCACGCTCACTGATCTGATCTTGGAGGGTTGCTCAGGTCCCCTTTGCAGCAGGGCCTCACTCGTTAGCCATGTTGTGCTAATTACCAGTCCTGCCTCCCCCGTACCAGGTGTGTGAGAAGCCCCTGATGTACCTGGTGGACACCCCTGGCGTGCTGCCCCCCAAGCTGGGGGATGTGGAGACGGGAATGAAGCTGGCGCTGTGTGGTGAGGTGGAGGCTGTGGCCGGGGGTGGTCCCCAAATGTGGCTCAGGGCTTGGTGCCCAAGGCTGGGGCGACACTGCTGCTCACAATCCCTGGGTGTGAGGGGGTGGAGGAGGGTTGGCCAGGGCTCAGCAGGGCTTAGGGAACCTGGGGCTTGATCCTCTTTTCCAGGAGCCATCCATGACCACTTGGTGGGGGAGGACGTCATGGCCGACTACCTCCTGTACACCCTGAACAAGCAGCAGCAGTTTGGGTGAGCTGGCGGGGAAGAGTCCCAAGAGGGTTATGGAGATGCCCTGCCCAGGGAATTCTGTGGGGAGGCAGTGCCAGCAGGGTGTGAGCCATGTCCTCCGGCAGGTACGTGCAGCGCTATGGGCTGGGCCAGCCCTGTGACCACATCGAGCCCCTGCTCAAGCACATGGCCCTCGCCCAGGGCCGCACGCAGAAGGTGAAGGTGCTGACAGGCACAGGTGGGTGATCCGGGGTGCAGGGGCTGGGATTTTTGGGGGTCTCAGGCTGTGCTGACACTCCTGTATCCACTGCCATCTCCAGGGAACGTCAACATGATGATGCTCAACTACCCAGCTGCTGCCTATGAGTTCCTGCGGGACTTCCGAGCAGGACGCCTGGGCAGGGTGACACTGGATTGAGAGCTGTCACTGGGCAGGCGCTGCCTGCAGCCATGTGGACTGGGGTCACCCTGGTGCCCCATGGGGCTGGGAACACCTCAGCAGGGAGCTATGGTGTGCGATTGAGGCCGCTCTGCCAGGGCTCTCCTGGCTTTTGGGTAAGATGCCGGAGGGACAGAATGCCCTGTGGTGTCGCTGTTGTGATGCTTCCATGAAGAGCAGTGCCCGCCCCGGAGAGCTTGAGGCAGGGCTCCTGCCTCCGGCGGGCACCTGGAAACCGCCAGGGAACTGTTTCCTCGCTGTGTTTATGGCCTGCATTGGAGCCTCCATCCCGAAATAAAACCTACGTGGGCAAGAGCCGGGCGCTGGCCATCCCAGGGTCCCGCCCCTCGCCCCGCATCCAGCCACACCTGCTTTCGCCCAGTTTTATTTTCTCCTCCTCGGCCTCCGGACACGGCGAGGCCACAGACAGGGGCGCGGTGCAGAAAGGTGCCCGAGCCGGGGGGGTTTGGCTCGGTGTGGAGGGGTGGTGGTGCTGGAGGGTTTTCCGCGGGGGTCCTGCCCCGCCGGCGGTGGGTGGCCATAGCCCCAGGAGCCGCTGCTCGCCCGGGGCATGGGGCTCAGCCCCGGAGGGGGCGGCCGGTCCTCGTGGCGTCGTGGGTGCACCGAGCACAGTCAGGTCCCCCGAAATCCATCACCGGCGGAGAAGGGCGGCCAGCGGGCAGAGCCAGGGCAGCGCCCGGCCCGGCGGTGTTCCGGCCGGCGCCGCGGAGGTCCAGGCGCTGGCGGCCGCCGTCCAGTTGCCGTCGCGGTACTCGACGCCGTCTCCCGCTTGCAGCTCTCCGGAGAGCCGGGACCGGCGCAGGGCCGCCCCCGCCGCCACGCCGGCCGCCGCTCCCGCCGCCGCCGCCCCCGCCACGCGCAGGGCCGCCCCGGCGGAGCCGTACCGGGGCACGGCCGCCCTCGGCCGGCTGCGGGCCGCCCCCCGCGCCGCGCCGCGGGCCGCCCCCCGGGCGCCGCCGCGCCCACCTTTGCCGGCCACCGTGTCGCAGAAGGTGGCTGCCAGCAGCACCAGCGCCCAGCACGCCGCCGCGCTCCGCCGCATCCCGCACCTGCCGCAGAGAGGGAGGGAGGGAGAGCCCCGCCGCTCAGCCGCGCCCGGCCGCGGGCGGGGGACCGCGCACCGACGTGTCCCGCTTGCGCGTGTGCCGGGGTCGCGCACGCGTGTGCGGCAGCACACGCAGCTACCCGCGCGTTGCATAAACGCGCTGCCCCCACCCCAGGGGATGATGCTCCCGCACACACTCGCACACGCGCGCTCCGCAGAACCCTGTGGATGATGCTCCGCACAGCCGTGCGGATGATGTTCCCGCAGAACCGTGCGGATGATGCTCCCGCACAAGCTCGCACCCACGCGTTTCCCTGGCTTCGCACATACCCGGCCGCGGGACACGCTCACACCCCCGCCCTTCCCTCCCCGCCCGCGGGGCTCACCGGGCCCGGGGATGCCGCCGGCTCCTTCCGTTCCTCTCCACTTCTCCCTGGCCGCGCTCCCACTGCTGCGCTACCGCCGCGCCCCCTGCACTCCCCCCTACTCCCCGCGCGGGGGGCAGCGGGGAAATCCCCCGTCCTTACCCTTTCCCCTTCCCTTCCCGTTCCCCGCGGCGCCTCTAAACCCCCCACGCTCCGCCGCCCCGGCCCCGCCCGCGCCCCGCGGGGCAGCACGGCGGGACCCCCGCTCGGGGCGGGTTCCGGCCCCGCGCCCCCTCCTACGGGCCGGGGGTCCTGGCCCCGCCCCTCGGCCCCGCCTCGGCCAATGGGGACAGCGCCTCGCGGGGCGGAGCCGGCTGCACCAATGGGCGGCGGCGGGAGGGGCGGGGCTCGCTCCGTGCTCCGCCATGGCCGCCCCGCTGCGAGCGCTCCTGCGCTCCGCCGTCACCGTCACCGCCACCGCCGCGCTCCCCCGAACGCGCCTCTCGCCGCCGCTCCGCGCTCCCAGCGGCGCACGGGGCTGCAGCGCCGGTGAGCACCGGGGGGGCATCGCGGGTGGGTGGGCTTAGAGCCGGGCACCGGGTCCCTGCACCGGCCACGGTCGTAGCCCCGCGGGCATGTGCCCAGCGACCTGTACGTGGTCCCTGGGCTGCGCACCAGGACACGGCACCGGGCACCACGTCCCTAGTCCATGTACGGTCCCAGCGCCGGGCACGGAGTCCCTGTGCGCCAGGGCCACAGCACAGGGCACCGGGACCCAGCACAAGGTACGGTCGCAGCACCGGACCTGTGCCCAGCGAGTTGCACGTGGTTCCGGAGCTGCGCTCCAGAGCCCTTCACGGGGCACCGGGGCCTTGCGTCATGTATGGGCAGTAGCACTGCATATCAGGCCACCGGCGCTGGGACTGGGCACCGGGGCCGCTGGACCATGCACGGGATCCCAGCACTGGGTACCTGGAGCACGCACACTGTCCCAGCACAGGGTGGTCACCGGGCTGCATCCTCGCTAGCTAGGGTGGCACTGGGAGCTCCTCCGAGCCAAGCTCCCGGTGACGTCCCGCCGGCTGCCCGGTGACCGCTGGCATCAAGGTCGCCTTTAAATAGCACGGAGTGATGGTGGCAGGCGTTGCCGAGGGTGACCGGGGGTCCGCCCGGTGCCCGGCAGCCGGTGGGCTAACGAGCCAGTGCTGGTGCGGTGGGCAGGGGCTGCGTTCCAGTACCTGCTGGTACAGAAGACGGGGGCTCAGAAGAACGTGGGGCTGATCCAGCTGAACCGGCCACAGGCGCTCAATGCGCTATGCGAGGGGCTCATGGCAGAGTTGCGGCGGGCACTGGAGGCCATGGAGAGCGACCCGGAGGTGGGAGCCATCGTCCTCACCGGCAGCCAGAAAGCTTTTGCAGGTAGGACGGGGGACTCTGCTTGCCCCAAAGTTTTGGAGGGGATTGGCGTCCCACTGCACTTCCCTTTGCAGCTGGCGCAGACATCAAGGAAATGCAGAATAAAACCTTCCAGGAGTGCTACAGTGGCGGCTTCCTCTCCGGGTGGGACAAGCTCTCTGTTGTCCGCAAACCCATCATTGCTGCTGTCAATGGTTACGCCGTGAGTGTCCCCTCCATCTCCCTGCACCCCCTGCCCCCACCCCGGCTCCCCCTGACCCATCTCTGCCTCCCCTGTCCCAGCTGGGAGGTGGGTGCGAGCTGGCCATGATGTGTGACATCATCTACGCCGGTGAGAAGGCGCAGTTCGGGCAACCCGAAATCCTGCTGGGAACCATCCCAGGTGAGCAGCAGGCACCTGCCGGGGGCTTCCATCCCAGCCCAGGTATCCCCCTCTGAACCTGTCCCTTCCCTAAATGCCCCAGGTGCTGGCGGGACGCAGAGGCTGACCAGGGCAGTGGGGAAGTCGCTGGCAATGGAGATGGTGCTCACTGGGGATCGGATTTCAGCAAAGGAGGCAAAGGAAGCAGGTAGGGGCGTGGGACAGCCCTGGCACTGCAGGGGTCTGGCGAAGAGCCATGCCTCCACTTCCCACTGCCTGTTCTAGGTCTGGTCAGCAAGGTCTACCCTGTGGAGAAGCTCCTGGATGCAGCCATCGCCTGCGCTGAGAAGATCGCCAGCAACTCCAAGCTGGTGACTGCCATGGCAAAGGAGTCAGTCAATGCTGGTAGGGGCTGGGGACCAACTGGGAACCCCTTGGGGGGGCTGTGAGGCGAGGCAGAGGGGTCTACCCAATTTCTCCCTTGCTTTCAGCCTTTGAAACAACACTGACAGAGGGGAACAGAACAGAGAAGCGCCTCTTTTATGCCACCTTCGCCACTGTGAGTAGGGGGATCAGCCCCATGGCATGAGGGATAACAGGGCTGCTGCAGCCCCCCCAAACCTCACCTCTCTGCTTGTTCCAGAGCGACCGCAAGGAAGGGATGACAGCATTCGTGGAGAAGCGCAAGGCCAACTTCACCGACAGCTGAGCCCAGGAGCTGCAGGTCCCTGGGGTGGTGCAGGTGCCCCCGGCCTCCTGCAGCCCATCCACCCCCTGCCTTACCCCACAGAGGGGACCGGGACCCACCGGCGAGCAATACTTGCTTGGGGTGACAGCCAGCAGTGGGGACCACCTCTGCCTTCGCTATTAAAGGGTTTTCTAGGTGCTGCTGGGAGATGGGGCATCCTTGCTGCGAGGTCCTGCCTTAGCTGGGAAGTGCTGGGGTTCACTGGGCCCCCCCATGCTGCATCACGCTGGGCTGGGCAAGAGCAGCCTCATAGAGCGTAGGTCCATGTGTTCCCCAGGAAGGGGACAGTCTGTGTCACCTTCTGGGGCGCAGCACCGATGTGCTGAGTTTGCCTGGCCTCAGCCTCACCTGGGCTGAGTCCACTGTCCCAGGGCATTGTCCTCGCCCTGCCTGGCGCCCTGGGGTAATCCTGAGGGAGTTGCTGCAGGTTTGGAGGCCCTGCAATTAGCAGCGGGTTTCTGGCAATAATGAGGAGCCCACCAGGACATAGAGAGAGCAGTGGGTTTATTGGTGAGGCTCAAGGCTGGGTAGGAAGGGGCAAATTTCCCCAGGGGTGACTCCCACCCCTCATTTCACAGCCCGGGCACATCTCCACTCAGCTGTGGTAGATGTGGTCACGATCCTCCTCCGGGCCATTCTGCACCTCCAGGGAGAACATCCGGGGTGGCTTGTAGATGTCAGCCTCCCTGGCATCATCCTGGGGGTGGTAGAGGTGGTCACGATCCTCCTCTGGGCCATTCTGCACCTCCAGGGAGAGCATCCAGAATGGCACACGGGCATTAGCCTCCCTGGCATCATCTTGGGGGTGGTAGAGGCGGTCACGATCCTCTTCTGGTCTTGCCTGAACTTGGGGTGGGCTCCTCTGAGCCCAGGCACTGCTGGAGAAGACCTTTATGCCTGGTTCACCCTCCTCTGCTGGCTCGATGGCTCCTACGCCCAGGATGCTGGAAGAGGGGAATAAATCAGCAAGGAAAGGTTGCCAAATTCCCAGGGGAATCCCACCTCAGTGGAGTGCAGGGACCCTCGTGAGATTCCCCACACCCCAGGAAGCACCAGCTAGGATCTCAGGGTGCAAAGGGGATAATTTAAACTATTTATTCCACAAAATGAATAGAGAAACCAGTGGGATGCTCAGAGACTTTACATAATTCGAGGAGGAAGGGAGATGGAGCTGGGAACCCCTTAATTTTCAGGAGCACAAAGCAACAAGGGGGTTTTATTCCCCCCAAAACACTTTCCATTTTGGGGTGTTGCTTTACTGATTTCTGCAAGCGCCTCTTACATTTCCTCAGCCAAATCCTGCTCTGGGGCCAGGTCCTTCCACCAGGAGCTGCTCAGAGCCTGTGGGGAGACAAGGGGGTTCCGAGGAGGGGCACAGGTCACACACGGGTCCCCTGATCAGAGGGGGCAGCAGGAGGGCAGGTTGGGGCAGGGCTCACCTGGGTGCTGCTGGGTGCCAGCAGGAGGAGGGCAGTGCCCAGCAGGACGGTCACACTGCAGAGCCCCATGGCCCTGGGGTGAAGAGAGAGGTGGCAGAGACCTGGTGGCACGAGCCGTGTGGCTGGTGCTGGCCCACGCCCTGTTCCCGTGCCCACAGCACCCCCCGTGCCCACCGGGGCTGGCAGGGACCTACCTGTCCACGGCTGTCTCCTGCCACACCCACGTCGCACTTTGCCCGGCCCCGTGGTAGCCCGGCCCACGCGTTCCTCCTGGCCCTGGGTGGATCCAGGTCCTGATGCTCAGGGAGATTGCATCCCTCTGGGCTCTCCGGGGCAGGCAAGTCCGTGTCCTCCTGCCAGTGCAGGATCTCTGGAGAGATGGGAAATCCAAGTTTTGGCTTGAAATAAGGATTTTTGACAGCCGCTGGCCAGCTGGGAAATACTTTGTTGCCCATGGACTCTGGGAAAAGAGAGCCAGTCAGGAGCCCTGAGGCTGTAACTGTAACTTCAGTTTGTTTCCCAACAGCAAGGGCAGGTACTCGGGGACCCTGGACTCTGGGGAAAAAGGAATTCCCAGGTCAGGTGCACCTGAGCACATAAGAGCAGCCTAGGCTGCTGCCTGACCTTTGTACCATCAGATGCCAAAGCCTGCAGGCATCTCCAATAGATGGGGCCTGCTTCCCATTCCCTGATATCCCAGTGGGGGGAAAAAGCTTCATTTGCAGCTTTAGTGCTGGGAAGTGATTTTTGGTCTCTGCTGAGAGATGTCCCTGGGCAGTTGTGTGGGTGTTGGGTCTCCCTGCTGGCGACGACACTCCCCAGAGCCCACGGAGCAGGGATTAGGGCTGGACAAGCTGGATGAGTTTTAAAAAGCTTCGCTCTGTTTAAAACTCGCTGGGAAATCTCCTACATCTCCGTAAACATCATTCCCTGCTCCCATTTGCAAGGATTTTTCAAAGCCCCTTTGATCTTCTCTTCCTCATAAGAGAGGGGGAAGGGAAAAAAAATGCAATTATAGATCCTAAGCTTCTTGGATAAACATTGTTCCAGAAACCTCATTTTTTCCCCTTATGCAAAATTTTTGAGTGTCAGGATTCATCAGGATCCCAAGACCAGTGGCTCTGTGTTTCTAGTTTTTTTCCAAGAGGATGAGATTACAAAGGAAGGGAAATGAAACCGGGAAAACCACCTCCATCCCAACCTGGTTTTGGCAGCATTTGCAGCAAAGGGAGGGAGGTTCATTCCACACGTCTGACCCTGCCTGGGCTTCAAAACAACACTTCAATTCTCTATGAAGCAATTTTGTAAAAATTCCTTTTATTTATTCACCTGATTGGAAGTCACTTTAACTCCCTGTGAAAATGCTTCTCCTGGCCCAGACAAACCTTTCAGAGCAGGTGCTGGGGTGCAGAGGAGACTTCAGCAAGATGGAGAAAGTCAGAACAAAGGACCAATGTTTTTTTTTTCCCTCCATTTTCTTTTCTCAGTGATTCCAGCTTCCATACAGTCATGTTGTCATCTTGTAACTTCTTGAATCCGTTTTTTACCCCCAAGAGGCAAAAACTAAAACACCCAATCCTGTGCAGCTTCAGCTGCAGGACAGTTTCCTTAACACCTCACCACATGTTCTGGGCTCCCCTTCCTAAAATCTTGTGGATTCTTAACTCAGTCAGGTGGTGTCAGTTCTGTTTGACATCAGGAACCCGTGCCCAAATGCTGGCAGAGCTTTAACTGGTTTGGGTGGTTTATTCCATGGAGTGGGAACTGGAAATATCCCTGGTGGCACTGGCTCCATGCCTGCTCATCATGCACAAAATCTGCTGTGCTGACCTTCAGACTTTCTTCCGTGGTCCTTTAAATCCTCGGGTGGCACCTTGTCCAAAGCAAATTGTGGATGGGATCCTGGAAAGGGAGACAGGCTTTAATCCATGTTAACAGCCCAGCCCTCACAGGCTCGTTGGGATGCTTAATGCTCTGTGGGGCGTTTTAAGCTCCCAGAGTGGGAAGAGCACGGTATGGGAGGAGCAGGACATGTAAATCACCAAATGATTTAAAGAGTGGGTGAAGTACTGGTTGGATTTCCTGTGAACTCTGCACATTCCTGTCCTGGAAGCCTCTTTACAACAAGGTGTGTTTCCAAATGTAACACCTGGGCAATTGCAGTGATTGATAATGAGGAGCAGAAGCAGCATCCTGCACTACCTTGGGGAGAGATCAGGTGGGCAGACTAACACAGCTTCCACAATTCTGCTCTTCCCTACACTTTCTTCTTTCACAAATGGCTCTGGAAGCACACATGAGATTCCTGCCTGTTTTATCTTCACCACAGGAACACCCCAAGCAATGCTGCAAAGGACTGATGAGTGGTCCCAGCCCCCTTTGCCCCAGAGGCCAAAGCACAGACCTGGATTTGTAGAGCCGTTTCTCTGGCAGCGAGGGGCCGGGGCTGGCTGCAGGCTGAGAGATCTCCATGTTCTCCTCAGGCCCTGTTTCCATGGGATTCACTTGGAATTGCTCTGCCATCTCCACGCTCACATCCATGGGCATGCTGGTGCCCTGCTCCAGAGGAGAGCTCGAGTGCTTGGAGCCACTGCAGAGAAAAAATTTTACATCCTGGCTCAGGAGCTGCCACTTGAGCCCAGAGCCAAGGAAATCAAACGTACTTCATAAGGAAACAAGTCCATCTGGGATGGATTCCTTCTCAATATCCCATCTAACCCTGCCCCCTGGGAATGGGAAGCCAGTCCCCTTTTCCTGGCACTCTATCCCTCGTAACGAGTCTCTCTCCACCTTTCCTCTAGCTCCCTCAGGTACTGGAAGGCCACAATTAGGTCACCTCAGATCTACTCTTCTCCAGGATGAACAATCCTAATTCCCTCACACTTTCCTTGCAGGACAGGAACAAAGTTCTGCAGTTACCATTTCACCTTCTTGGGCCTGTCAAACCGAAAATCAGCAGGATAAAGGTGCACGGTCACCAAGTGATCCTTCCTGTCCTTGCTGCTCTTGAACTTCTCCGTGCAGCCTTCCACCAGACACTGGTACTGAAAGGCAGGGAGGAGAAAGAAAAAAGGTCCCAAGTGGAAAAAAAACAAGTGCACACCAACCACGAGGCAAGGGCTGGGCATGGCAGCTCACCATATTTTGCTTCTCGGCCATTATCTGGAAGAGGGAGTCGTGCCACTCCAAGATGTGGATGTCCAGGAGGTTCCCAGAGGGAAAGGAGCGCTTGCAGAAGGAGCAGACGTTCCTGTGCAGGGTGTTGTAGTGGTGCTCGTAGCTCTCCAGCGTGTCAAACACCTGGCTGCACCCAGAGATGTGGCAGCTGAACTCGGACACCCTGCAGGGAAATCAGGGCATCCACGCTTTAAGCTAAATTAGAGCCTTAATTTCAGCTGCAAACATTCCCTCTAGATTACTTTATCAGAGAATCCCAGGATGGCTTGGGTTGGATTGGACCACAAAGCTCATCTGATTCCAACCCCTTGCCACCTTCGACTAGACCCACACCTGCAGCCACAATTCTTGCGGCATTTTTTTGTGACTAATACTTAAAATTAAATGCCAGGTGCAATGGAACAAAGATCATGATGGTGCTGGCAGCTGGAAACTTATCTGCCATTGGAAACTTATTAACCATTATGGCTTCAGGATCATCTAGATCATCCTCCTGTTAAACAGTGCTTCGATGAAGAATAAACAAGCCACTAGGTAATAAATTAGCTGTGTGACTTAAAAGTCGCGATTGTGGATGACAAATCTGTGCCACTGCTTTTTTAAGAGGCACCCATAGGTGAACCTCACACAACACAGAAGTACTTCCTGGATTTTAATCATAAGAGCGAGACCAAGATTCTCCCCCAGCCTTCCCGGTTGGAGCTGTGCCAGCTGCAGCAGCCCAGAGCAGCTGCGGCTGCCCCTGGATCCCTACAAGTGTCCCAGGCCAGGTCGGACAGGCCTTGGAGCAACCTGGGATAGCAGAAGGTGTCTCTGCCCATGGCAGCGGGGAGGAATGAGATAGGCTTTAAGGACCCTTCCAACCCAAACCATTCTTTGATTCCACGACAGGCGGACTCGGAGCTCGCCCGCAGCTGTGGCGACGAGACCGCCTCACTTACTTGGGTCTCTCGGCCACCTCCTCCAGGCTGGTGAGGACGCCCTGCAGGTAGAGGTGCCTGTGCACGTCCCCATCCTAGAGAGGAGCAGAGAGTGGCTGTTGGCGGGCGGGAAGGGCTGCAAAGCACAGCGCAAACCCTTCTGCTCCCGGGGAAGCCGCGCTGGGGGCGGCCCCAACACAGCCCCGGTCGCGGGGCCGCCTCACCTCGAAGAGCGGGTGTTGGGGGCCGAGGCGGAGGCGGCGGGGGACGAAGGTGAAGGGCGGCGTGGGCTGAGGGGGACGCGGGCATGGGGGATCCTGAGGGAGCGGGGGGAGCCCCTCACAGAGGAGGAGGGGAAGGCGCGGCGGCAGCGGCAGCATCGCGGGGCGCTCTGCGCATGCGCGGAGTCGTCCCGCGCGCAGCCGCTTGACGCTCTGCGCATGCGCGGGGCTCTCAGCCCGCCGCCGCTTGACGCACTGCGCGTGCGCAGGGCGCTCTTCCCGGCGCCGGCGGCGGCACTTCCGGGCGGGCAGGTAGGGATGGGCTGGAATGGGATGGGGTGGATAGAGTAGGATAGGGTGGGCTATGGAGGATGGGATGGGATGGGGCGGAGCAGGACGCGACTGAGGTGATGCCCTGCCCTGCAGGTCGCTCCGGGTGGGCCGCAGAGGGACCCGCAGCCGGTGCCTGGGAGCCGTGCCCGGGCCCGTCGGGTCGTCCCGGGGATGGGAATCCCACTGCTGTAGTTGCGGCCGTGCTGGTGTCCCCAGCAGGCACCTCCTCGTGTCCGGCCGAGCCAGCCTAGCTCCCGCAGCTTCTCTTCATTCCCTACATCCTTGACTCCCCGGCACTTTAGCCCGCGGGAAATCCCAGTAGGATCAGGGCCCCAAGTGATGCCTTTAAAGAGATTTAAGCTTGGGCTGGACCAGGCCCTACACAGCCTGTTCTAATTTGTGTCAGTTTTGAGTGGAGAATTGGACCAAGAGATCCCTTCCAGCCTAAGCGATTCCATGATCTTGGCAAAACAAAAGTGTGTCCTTGTGCTTGATACATGGATCTGCTTTGTATCTACTTGGTACGGTCTGTTCAAGGTGTCACATGAAACGCCTTATGTATATCCGTGATTCCTAGCTCAGGGTCTTCTGATTTACAGAATCACAGAATATTCTGAGTTGGAAGGGACCCACAAGGATCATCAAATCCAGCTCTTATGTGAATGGCCCATTCCAGGATTGACCCCACAACCTGGGTGTTTTTAGCACCGGGCTCTGACCTGCTGAGCTCATCTCAGGGCTCTGTGTCAGTATTAAAGTTATTATTTAAATAATCTGCAGGGTTTGAGTGAAGTTAGTAAAGTGGGGAGTGGAATAGGAAGACCCCTAAACTTGGGGAAAACTGCTTTGGGGTGATTTCAGAAGCAGCAGCAGGGTCAGCCTGTCAGGACACCAACCAGAGTACTTTCTGAGATGAAAAAATCCTCTACTGGGATTTTAAGTCAGCCAGCCCCAAGTTAAGATTCTCCCCCAGCCTTGGTCTTCATGGTTGGAGCTGTCTGAGCTGCAGTAGTCCAGGCTGCCTCTGGATCCCTGGAAGTGTCCAAGGCCAGGTTAGACAGGGCTTGGAGCAGCCTGGGATAGTGGAAGGTGTCCCTGCCTGTGGCAGGAGTTGGAATGAGATGGGCTTTGAGGTCCATCCCTGTTTAGTTCGCTTCCTTCTCCTTTGTCCCAGCCAAACACCTCCACCTTCCAGAAGCGTCCCCCTCGCGGGATGTTTCCCCTGGGAGCAGTGGGGTGACCCCTGCTTCCCGTGTCCCCAGGGCAGGTGGCCCGAGCCGGGAGCATGAGCGAGTTCCGCATCCACCACGACGTGAACGAGCTGCTGAGCCTGCTGCGGGTGCACGGCGGCGAGGGCGCCGAGGTTTACATCGAGCTGCTGCAGAAGAACCGCACGCCCTACGTCACCACCAACGTCTCTGCACACAGCGCCAAGGTCCTCCCCGCCTGCTCCTGGTCTCGCCTTGGGCAAGGAAAAAAGGGAAAAGGAGAGGGTGGTCAGATCTGGGGTTGTTGGTGTGAAGTGTGAAGTCTGGTCGGGGAAAGAATCCTAACGACTGTTAGGACTAGGGTGCGGGCAAGTTCAAAGAAGGAGGTAATTTTGTGGGATATTGGAAAGAAATTGTTCCCTGTGAATGTGGCAATCTGGCACAGAGTGCCCAGAGAAGCTGGGGCTGCCTCTGGATCCCTGGAAGTGTCCAAGGCTTGGAGCACCATGGGATAGTGGAAGGTGTCCCTGCCCATGGCAGGGGGTGAAACACGATCAACTTGAAATTCCCTTCCCACCCAAACCATTCTATGATTCCATGAGGAAATGAAATTGTATTAAATGCAATTATATGGCTAGCACCTGAGAATATCACCCAAATAGTAGAGATTAAAGCCTGGCAGTCATGACCAGACATACTTTTATGGCTATAAGACTGCTTTTTGTTTTCATTTTTAAAAGCAATCCACCACTCAAGCTCTAAGTGCCAGGAAGTCTCTAACTGTGTCTGAAACTTCGTGTCTTTGTAGCCTGAGCTGTGTGTGCTCTGACTTCGTTTAGTTTTAACTGTAACTCCACTTATTATTATTGTGGTGTTTTACAGGTGAAGATAGCAGAGTTTTCTCGAACTCCTGAAGATTTTTTAAAGAAGTACGATGAGCTGAAGTCTAAAAACACGAGACATCTGGATTCTTTAGTTTATCTGCTGTCCAAACTCACCGAAGACAAAGAGGTTGGTTCCTTGTTCAGAACTGGATGTTGAAGAGTAGCAGCAATGCAATGATTTCAAGCACAGCTGGTGGTAAAGTTCAGTGAAATCTGTAGAAATCAACAAATAACCAGTTGTAGCTTTTACTGTGTTATTAAAGCCCTACTGAGAGTTATGCTCCTCTTGGTATAATTCACTAAGACGTGGAAAACTGGGACAGAGATTAGTTAGATTTAGATTTTTTTAAGAGAGATTGATTAGATTCAGTACAGCCAGGGTATGGTCATGTGTTTCTTTAGATTGTGCTGCCCAGCATTCACAAAATCTTTTCTTTGTTTGCCTGTGTACAGACACTCCATTACCTGCAACAAAATGCTAAAGAAAGGGCGGAGCTTGCAGCAAACGCAGCCACCAGCAGCAGCACGAATTTTTCCATCCCCTCATCCACTTCCAAGATGTCTCTGCAGGAGCTGGAGGAGCTGCGCAAGCAGCTGGGCAGTGTCACAGCCAACTCCAGTGCACAGCAGGTACAAAGCCCTTCCCAAGCTCTGGGCACAAAATCTTCCCTTTTGTTAGTCAGATCACATTAGATCTTGGTGCTGTTCTTAGTAAGAGTGGCCTTTTCCTATTGCAGTCAGTTAAAGTTAAATTCTTTGAGGTTATTCTAAGGTTAAGTTCACTGTTAAATTCTTCCCTATGAGGAACCTGGCACAGATTGCCCATAGCAGCTGTGGCTACTCCATCCCTGGAAGTGTCCAAGGCCAGGTTGGACAGGGCTTGGAGCAACCTGGCATCATGGAAAAGACAGAAAGGAGGAGGAAAACCGACTGGAGACACAAGCTTGGCAAACAGTTAAACATTTCATTAACAGTAGTAGGTCATGAAGTCAGAGTGCAAAAGGGTGATTTATTACTTAAACCCCAAATTCTATTTCCTGTCATTATATGTATAAAAACCTGTTCTGTGGTGGCTTGACCTGACAAACAAGACAGTGAGGAGGTAAAAAATACATGGGTCAAGATAAGGACATTTTGGCTGCAGAAGGCAGAGGGGCAGCAGTGTATGGTGAGTTCTTTGGACAAAGGGGAGAGAGGAAAAGATGCTCAGAGGTCCATAGTGCCTTCTCATGCCCAGTCAGCAAAATCTAATGGGACAAGCTTCAGATCACTTCAGGCCCTCGATGGCAAGAGGGATGGACCTTCCATGTCCCATGCTTTGAGCCTCTGGGCTTGAAGGGCCCTACGTGAATGTGATGGTGGAGAACTCAAATCCTAAAAAAAGAGCCCAACCCCTCACCCTGTCAGCAGTGGTGAGACCAGCCTTGTCCTACATACACTGAAATACTGCACAGACACTGGGCCTGACTCATCCAGATCCTTCACAGACAATCTTGAGTCAAGTGGGTGATTTAGATCATGAAGGGAAGATGAATTTCCAGTGAGATAACTGATCTTCTTACCAGGATTTATGTGTGAACTTGCTAAAAGAGGAAAGACCTGGAAGTGCCATTCTCTAGGATGTGCAGTTCACAGCCAGAGGCATTGAAATGCCATCACAAGCCAAGATCTGTGCTTCCCTGCTGCTCCATTTGTGGTCTCTTCAGACTTAAAGAGCTGGAACTGTGTTAAAAGGCCCTGATGGGCTGGTGCTTGGGCCTGTTGAGTCAACAGGGGCTGGGACAGGAGGACATTCCTTGGAAGTGCTAGGTCTGCTCAGCCTCTGACACAGATCTTGTGTCCATGAGGGTCACAAATGGAGTTGGAGGTGTTCATGGACCTCAGAGACGAGCCCTTTATCTCCCTCCATGGGTGTTGGCACTGCCATTGCTCAGCATGTCACATGCAGGTTCCTAAGCATGACAGTGGCAAACTGCCACCCTGTGCCAGTGGTGTTGAGGTGCCACCTGAGGGCCGTGTTTTCAGCCCTGGGAGTTTTTCTCCAGGCTGTTGTTGAAGCCTGTAGTGACAGTGACCTAAATTTCGAGTTGCAGAGAGAAGGTGATTCATGCCCCTGAGACATGTGCTTTGTCACCAGTGCCACAAGTGCTGTGCCATCTGCCCTGGGATTACTTGGCACTGTCAGAGAGATCATGCAGTGCCTGGAATTACTGCTTGGACCAGTTTTGGTCCAGGATTCATCGAGGTGGGGAAAGTTAAGTGTTCCCTTTCAGGTGGATGTGCTCTTTATAGCCAAAATGTTGACTTTCTTGACCTTTGCCAGTTAACAAAGTCACTCTAGAGCTGGTTGAACTGCAGCAGAAGTGCCCTGCCTCTTGTTATGGAATAAAATCAGAGATTCATCAAGTCCATCCCTGGATTGAATATCACCATGCCCACTAAACCCAACTGCCATTTCTGCTCGTGTTTTGAACTCTTCCAGAGGTGGTGACACCACCGTTTCCCTGGGGAGTTTGTTCCTATGATTAACCACTCTCTCAGTGAAGAAATTTTTCCTGCCTGCCATTTGGGAAGAGCTACTGGTGGCTGCCCTTCTCCCAGGCAGAACATGTTCATACAGCCAGCTGAGGTTTGCAGTTTCATGTGGGGTTTAGCCATCCTTTGAATTGCTGGCAGCTTGCTTGATGCTTCCTATTTCTCCATATGAAAGTCCCAGTTCTGTTAGGGGAGCAGAGGAAATCGAGGTCCTTTTAGCAGATCACCCACACATGATGTAAATAAGAAAATGAAATGAGTCTGTGCATATTCCTTTTCACACACACACATCTGTGGAGTTTCAGAAATGGCCTTCATCAGCCCTGTGTTTGTGCACTTGAGGCTCCAAATGTTCATGTAGGTTGTGCATCTCACAAGCTTCCCCAGCTGATGATTGATCTTGCACTCCATTTATTTTAATGTCAGAGCTGGGGGTGGAAAGTCTTTCAGTCTTCAAGAGCTCACTTCCTTCGCCAACTCCCACTCAGAGCAAAAAACTCCATCATTTTCCAGCTCTCTGTGGGTGGATTTGTCTGGGTTGCATTTGGCATTGAGTTCAGAGGTGTTCAGTGCCCCTGGGATAGGATGTTGGTGCTTCTGGAAGGAGTTTGCTGCTTTCATGTGGTGCTCTCTCCAAACCAGCAACCACTGCCTGGTGGTTGTGCACATCCCCATTCTGCTTCCCGGGGTGTGCCCCAGGCCAGTGTGGACAGGTGCAAAAAAGCATTATTTAAAGGGCCTCCACATAAAAAGGTGAAATGTGAAAAAAAAAAGCATTTTTTTGCAGCAGTGGGGCAAATAGACTAGGTGGTACTGGGAAATTAAACCCTACACCATGCTACTGAAATACCAGCTATTCTACTTTCCGTTCTCAAGTCCATCAGTCAGTTTGCAGTCAATTTCTACTTGAAATGAAACATTTCTTGGATTCCTGAATGTCTCCTGTTTTTTTCCTTTCTTTCCCTCTCTCTCTTTTTCCAACAGCCTCTTGAGCTTACACGAAAAATCCTCCGAGATAAGCAGAACAAGAAGAATTCTGGTCAGCCCATTCCAGTATTTCCATCCTGGGTGTATGAGAGACCTGCACTTATTGGGGATTTCTTAA